ATCGTCCTCCCATTGTCGTCCATCATCATCATCATCCTCCCCCTCCTCCCCCTCCTCGTGCTCCTCCTCCTCCTCCTCCCCCTCCTCCCCGTCCTCCCCCTCCTCGTCCACCTGCTCTTCTTTCTCCACATTCTCCTTACATCCTCTCTTCTTCCGCGTCCTCCTCGTCCCCTGTTTACTCCTCCTGCTTCCCCCTCCTTTCCCAAGATAACAGCAACGCAATCTTTTTTGTCCAATGTATGCTCCCCGACTTCTCTGATCAAGGCAACTGGCCAGGGCAAAGTTGCTGGACGGGCTTGTGTGGATGCGCGGGGCTTGAAGAGGTCGTTGCTGGCTCAGACGGCATGCAAAAATCCGCCGCCGCGCTTGTGCGGCATTGGTTTGTTCAGTGAACGTGGTTTAGGTCGCGGGTGGGTCGCGGGCTCTCCACCTCCACCTGGAAGGAATGCAAAAGCAGCCCGCCGCAGGCGCCGAAATGATTGGCTTGTATGCCCGCCGAAGGCGCCGAAAAATTTGGTTTGTACCCTGAACGTGGTCGCGGGTGGGCCGCGGGCTCTCCATCTGAAACGAATGCAAAAGATGCCCGCCGCAGGCGCCGAAAACTGTGGTTTGTATCCTGAACGTGGTTTGGGTCGCGGGTTGGTCGCGGGGTGGGTCGCGGGCCCTCCACCTGAAAGCATGCAAAAAAAAAACCGCCGCAGGCGCCGAAAATTGTGGTTTGTACCTTGAACGTGGTTTGGGTCGAAGGTGGGTCGCGGGTGGGTCGCGGGGTGGGTCGCGGGTGGGTCGCGGGTGGGTCGCGGGTGGGTCGCGGGTGGGTCGCGGGGTGGGCCGCGGGCGGGTCGCGGGGTGGGTCGCGGGTGGGTCGCGGGTGGGTCGCGGGGGGTGGGTCGCGGGGTGGGTCGCGGGGTGGGTCGCGGGGTGGATCGCGGGTGGGTCGCGGGTGGGTCGCGGGTGGGTCGCGGGATGGGTCGCGGGGTGGGTCGCGGGGTGGGTCGCGGGTGGGTCGCGGGTGGGTCGCGGGTGGGTCGCGGGTGGGTCGCGGGGTGGGTCGCGGGGTGGGTCGCGGGTGGGTCGCGGGGCGGGTTTCGGGTGGGACGACGACACAAACAACAACAAACAACAACGATAATCCGCACCGCGGAATCCCACTTCAGCCACGCACCCAGGGACAGTGAATGACCGTTCGGCCCCCTCACTCTGATATGTGTATATATATACACACAGATAGATCATATGCTGGAGTGCTGGGGGGCCCAGATCAGATCCTCGGCGCTGGAAATCTGGACCCCCTCCAGGGCCGTCCTCCGGCGGCCCAAAACAGCTGTGGAGGGCATAAAGCAGCGGCTAGAGCGGCCCAACAGGGCCGACCACGCACAAAGATGGCCCAAGAGGCCCAGAAGACGCTCTGAAAAGGCTTGAAGATGCCCCCCCCGAGAGGGCCCCAGGAAGGCCAAACTGTTCCATCCTTAGGGCACCGGGCACACGTGTATTTTTAGCATGTCCGCGCTTTGGTTTCTAACAGCGTCCAAGACGGCCCAAGAGAACCCCAAGATCGCCTCAAGACTGCCCAAGAGGCCCCCAAGAGGCCCCAGGCCCGCCCGAGAGAGCCCCAAGACTGCCCAGTAGACGCCAAAGACGGGCCAAGAGGGCCCCAAGAAGGGTCCAACATGACAAATTCTAGACGCTTCGCGTATCCCCGCCAGTTTAGGTTGGCCCGTGCCCCGGACCCCCCTCTCGGCGACAGCTTCACGCGTCTGCCCGCGACCAAAAAAAGTATCCCCACCAGCCCATCCAGCAACGATGTCCAGGCGAGTTGAGGTGATCAGGGAAGTGCGGCAGCAAAGAGGAGGAAGGCCGAACCGTGCAAAGGAGTGAGGGGGAGCAGGAGGAGGTGGATGGATGGATGGATGAGGGAGTGGGAAGACGGAGGATGAATAGGATGATGATGGTGATGATGATGATGATGAGGAGGAGGAGGAGGAGGAGGAGGAGGAGGAAGAGAAGGAGTAGGAGCAGGAAGGAGGAACAGGAGGAGGAGGAGGAGGAGGAGGAGGAGGGCAAGCACAGGGCCAGAGGTCTCTTGGATGCCCCTCGGAGCCTCTTGGGGTATCTCTTGGGCGATTCTTGGTGGCCTCTTGCGACGTCTTGGGGGTCTCTTGGCGATCCTGGGGGGCTCTTCGGGGTCTTGGGTGCCTCGGGGGGGCCTCTTGGGGCCGCTTAGGGTCTTCTTGGGGGCCTCCTGGGGGCCTCTTGGGGGCCTCTTCGGGCCATCTTGGGGCCATCTTGGGACCTCTTGGGGCCTCCTGGGCGCTTCTTGGGGCCATCTTGGAGGAGATCGGTCACGCCAGGAGGCCCCCCCCCCCCCCCCCCAGGAGCCCAAAATGGGGCCAAACCATAGTAAAATCAATGATTTTGGCTTCCTCGCCGAGGCCGTTTTGGACGCTCTAACTACCCGCGGCCCCCCCCCGTCCAGGTCCACGGGGAGGGGGTAGGGGGAGGGGTCAAGTTACCCCCCTCCCCGCCCGCAAGCCGTCTCGCTCACTCCCACCCGCCTTCCCAACACATACGTAGCAGCCGAGTCTGGCCCGAGCCTCAGCATATTCAGCAGTCGTCTTTGGATGGGCAGCTACTGGGGGCCAATCCGCCGCCGCCGCCGCCTCCGCCGCCGGTGCCGCCGCCGCCGCCGCTGCCCGCCGCCGCCGCCCCGCCGCGCCGCCGCCGCCGCCGCGCCGCCGCCGGCCGCCGCGCGCGCCGCCGCCGCCGCCGCGCCGCCGCCGCCCCCCGCTGCCTAACCGCCGCCGCCGCCGCCGCCGCCGCCGCCGCCGCCGCCGCCGCCGCCGCCGCCGCAACCGCCGCAGCCGCCTCCGCCGCCGCCGCAGCCGCCGCAACCGCCGCCGCCGCCAAGTGTACTCTGTATTGTTTTTTGACGGGGATGGTGGGGGGGGCCGCATCGGGCTGGCTGCGCATGTTCCGAATTTGGAAGCAAAGTGTGTGTTTGTATTGTTGTTTTCCAAGGGATGGTGTGGGGGGGGTCGGCTTGGACTCGGGTTGGCCCCCAGTCGCCTGGGGGAGGGGGTGTTTATTAATAGGGAACAGTGATACACCCCTCCCCGAAGGGGAAGAGGGAGGGGTGGAAGAGGAAACGCCCTAAACCACCGACGCCCGGAGGGCTGGTGGGATTCGAGCTGCGATCCCGGAGGCCGTCCGCAGGCCCCCAAGAGGCCCCAGAGTCCCAAAACAGGCCCGGCGAGGCCCCCAAGCGGCCCCCGAGAGGCCCCGAGAGGTTTCAAAAAGCTCGATCCCCGAGGCGCCCGAGGAGCATGCCAAGAGGCCCCAGATGGCACATATCCGAGAAGGCCTCCGACCCCAATCGCAGGCACGCTGGCGGTATGGGCCGAAGGCTATAGATTTAGGTCGGGCCTGTCCCCCTACAGGGGGATTTTCGACGAAAGATAAAGCATACCCCTAAAAATGATTTAAACACCGTCCAAAAATAGTCTGGGGACTTGTTGGGTATGGTTTGACCTTTTTGGGATATTGTTGGGGTATTTATTTTTCGTTGAAAATCCCTTTGTATGGGGGACACGCCCGACATCACTATAGATGGCAAACGATTGGCTTGGCGACGGAACCGTACCTATTCAGGCACGTGCAGGGCAGGGCACGGCCCTCTTTCCAAGTACCGTGCGCCGCGAGGCTGCGCTGTCAGCGAGCTGCTGCGTAGCAAGCGTGCACAGGTGTGATGAGCTCCGCGTGGGGCACGATCCGCGTGAAGAGGGGTGCCGAGTAATCTGGGGGCCCTCGCGCGGACCCGCCCACTGAGGCCGCAGGTGGAACTCCGAGTGGGGCACGGCCCGTCTGAGGCATGTGCCGCCATCGGCGGGGAGGACGTCATGCGAAGTCGCCCATTGGTGCCATAGGTGGAGCTCGTTCCAGGGCACGACTCGCGTGAATGGTGTGCCGACATGGGCGGAGGGACGATTTGCGAACCTGGCTTCTGCGGCTGTGGGTGGTACTCCCCGTGGGGCACGATCAGCGTGAGAGGTATGCCGAAGTAGGCGGGGGGGCGGGATGCGAACCTTGCCTCTGGGGCCGTAGGTGGAACTCCCTGCATGGCACGATCCGTGCAAGAGGTATGTCGACGTGAGCGGGGCGACGTTATGCGAAGCTTCCCTTTCAATGCAGTTACCTGCGGGGCAGCACTATCCGCGCGAGGGTTGTGCCGCTATGCGATGGGGCCGTAGGTGGAGTTCTTTGTGCGGCACGATCCTTGTGAAGGGTGTGCCGAGATGGGTCGGGGGCCGTGTTTGAACAACGTGCCGAAATACATGGGGAGGCGCCATTTTGATATGTATGCCCATGATCGCGCAGGTGTTCCCACGTGGTGATCGTGGTGGGGTGGCGTGCGTACCCACCTGCTGGTTGATCTGACGCTGGCTTTACCGTGGTTAGAACGCGGCGCGCGCGTTGTTCTAGTCTACATGTGTATACAAAGTGTCATTCTCGGCAATGGAGCTTACACCGCACAGCTACGTAGCTGTCACTCCATGGCTAACACTTCCAGTTCGCACCGTCCAGCTTACGCTACACACATTACAGTACACAGCTTACGCCGCACACGTCTTCACCGCCATCGCTCACCCCAGATAGTTTACACAACATAGCTCCCACCAAATATCTTACACCGCATAGCATCCACCTTCACTGTGCAATGACGCACTGTTTGGGCTCCAGGTTGGCTAAGATTTTTGTCATACGGAGCAGTGATCGACCTCTCCCTGGAGGGGGGTGAGGGGGTTGAAATGGGAAACACTTTAGACCAGCTCCGCCCAGAGTGGTTGTAGGATTCTACCATGGCTATACGTGTAAGATGTCAGATGGGTTCCGCGACGAGGCGGGGAGCTTTCCCAACCCTGCAACGATCGTTTGAATTTGCAATGCGGGGCACAGGACTTGCCCTTGTATAGGGTCAGGGGTTAGTTGCCTGCTCGCCACAGGAAATTCATGAACGAGACGCGCAGAAAGCTGCGCGCACTTCGTGAAGAGCATTACTACGAGTTCCCAGCCGACCTCACGGACGTACAGCGTGGCATCGTGCACCATGTCGCCGAGGAACTCGGCCTCGCCTCCTACGACCAAGGTTCAGGCGAGGATAAGCACGCGGTGGCGGCCAACAACAAGGGTTTTCTTCAGAGGATCAAGAAGGAACTTGCTGCTATTGAGCCGGGAGGCAGTGAGCTGTACACCGAGAGTTTTTCCGTCTGCCAGCGCCACATCCTCAACGCGGTTGCGGATTCGCTGGAATTGTGGGTGCATTCGACTTCGGATGGTTTAGAAGTGTTCAACCTCGACGATTTCGCGAAAAATTTACGGAAAGATTTGCAATCATTGGCGGACGGCGATGAGATTACTCTCCAGCCCGGCCTCACTGACCAGCAGCGGGTGATGGTGTTCGCCATCGCGGAGGATTTGGAGCTCTGTGCCGTCGACATTGGCAAGCCTGAGTCTGGGCAGATCGCAGTTGGCAATATGCGGACATTCATGAATGATGTCTGGGCCAAGCTTAAGCTACTGAGAAGAGGCTGCATGGAATCGTTCGACAAGGGCTTCACGCCCGTGAAGAACAAGGCGGTGATCGACGTTGCCACGCAGATGGGGCTGTATTCTGAGACGATGAAGACGAACTTTGGCACCTGGGTCGAGGTCCACAGGCTGTACCCTGGCCAGAAGGCTCCGTACAGGCTGCCTCCACCCATTCAGTTTGCCGCCGTGGCCGAGGCGGACGGTGCGGACGGCGCTGCCTCAGCCGACTCGCCCATCGCGGCGGAAGCCAGCGCGGCCCGCAGGCGCGGCGCCCTGGCCAGGGGCAAGAGGAGCAGCACGGTGGCGAGCTTCTCCGAGGACCCCTCGGGCTGGTTCCGTGAGGTGGGGATCGAGAAGCCAAGCGCTCCACGCACGGAGGGCGGCAATGGCACGACGGAGGACGACGACCACCTCAGCGAAGGAGAAGAGGAAGCCGAGAATCCTATGAAGAGTCTCTTCGATACTTTCGCCACCGGTGAGTTTCAGGGACAGAGGATCTTCACGCGCTTTTTAGACCTGAAGAAATTGGCTACCAGCTGCAAGGCGAACGGCACCGAAGACGGAATGTTCCAAAACTTCAAGACCGAGCTGGAAACAGTGTTCAATGACACAGTGCAGTTGCAGATCGACATGGAATTGAGAACTAATAAAGGTCTAACATTCCGATGGTTCCAGGTATTTATGCAAACTTCCATGCGGAAGCTCGGGAAAGGCTCCTTCGCGTTCTTGCTCAAATTCGCCAGCCAGAAAGACGCAGATACTTGATGCTCGTGGAACTGTTCTAGTGCACACCTGTCACACACCTTGCCCTCAGCATTGCTGCCTTTGTGCGTTCCCTCGGGCAGGACTTCTCGAGGAAGTGGCTCGGCTGGGAGGGGGAAGGAGGAGGAGGGAGGAGTGAGGAGGAAGGAGGAGGGAGGAGGAAGGAAGGAGGGAGGAGGAGGGATGAGGGAGGAGGAAGGAGAGAGGAGGGAGGAGGGAGGCGGGAGGAGGGAGGTAGAAGGAGGAGGAGGGAGAGGGAGGAGCGAGGAGGAGGAGGAGGAGGAGGAGAAGCAGGAGGAGAGGGAGAAGGAGGAGGAGGAGGAGGAGGAGGAGGAGGAGGAGGAGGAGGAGAGGAGGAGGGAGGAGGAGGGAGGAGGAGGGAGGAGGAGGAGGAGGAGGAGGAGAGGAGGGAGAGGAGGAGGAGGAGGAGAAGGAGGACGAGAAGGAAGGGCAGGAGGAGGAGGAGCACGAGGAGGAGGAGGAGAGGAGGAGGAGAAGAACAGGAGGAGGAGGAGGAGGCGGAGGAGGAGGGGCGGGAGGAGGAGGAGGAGGAGGAGGAGGAGGCGGAGGAGGATGGACGGCAGGAGGAGGAGGAGGAGGAGGAGGAGGAGGAGGAGGAGGAGGGGGAGAAGGAGGAGGAGGGAGGAGGAGGGAGGAGGAGGAGGAGGGAAGGGTGTGATGGTGGCTGTCTCCTGCGTGGCGAGCGGTTGCAACGTTCTGGCCTTGGCGGGTGCGTCCACCTCGCCGCCGAGAGGGGCCGCCTTGCCTCCCGGCAAGCTACAGCCATCCCCTCCTTTTCTCGGCGGCGAGCCCCAGGGGGGTGACGTTACGTTGCATCTTCGGGAGACCTCGCCTGCCTTTATGTCGGGTGTGTCCCCCTACAGGGGGATTGTCGACGAAAAAATAAGAATACCCCAAAAATGTTCCAAAACGATCAAAAGATATTCAGAAAATAGTCCCCAGACTATTTTTGGAGAATGTTTTGATTCTGTGTGGGGTACTTCTGGTATTTTTCGTCAAAAATCCCCCTGTGGGGGACAGGCCCGACTTAAGCCTGCCTCCAGAATTGGTGTCTTCTTTTGTGCCCGGCGCAGGCTCAATGCGGACTCGATGTGGACTTGGCGTGGATCCGACGCGGGTTCGGCACAGATTCGACACGGAGCCGACGAGGCCGACATGGATTCGACACGAATTCGACGCGGATAGGGCCTCGACGGGACAGACAAGGTCCCCGAAAGATGCAAGAAAAAGGACGTGACCCTGACCTTCCAGGAGGGCGAAACACTAGCACCAGGACCTCGACCTCTTTAATTCCTGTCGAGACAGGCAGTCAAGATAGGTCTACAGGTCTGGAGGGCTATGTTTTAGCATCCTGGAAGGTGGAAGGTCAGGGGAGAAGGTGCGGGCCTTCTCAGAAGGCTCAGAAGTTCCCCGGCCTTCTCTGAAGCTTTCTACCCATCTGTCGTTGAAAGTAGGTATTTTTGGATTCCCAAATCCAATCTACGCCAAGCGCCTTCCTACTTCAATGATCGATATGGTGTGGCTGTGCGGGCCCGAACCCAATCTACTTGATCCGCCTTCTTACTCCATGTTTATACCTACCTATACGACCACCCTTCGGGTGATAAGGAGGTTCGGGGGGGGGGAGGAACCAACGTCTCACTCGATCGGTCTCACTATCCATCTCACTATCGATCTCAGTATCGGTCTCCCTCGATCGATCTCCCTCGATCGATCTCACAATCGATCTCACAATCGATCTCACTCGATCTCACTCGATCTATCTCACACTCGATCTCACTCGATCATCATCATCATCATCCCATCATCTCATAATCAACATCATCATCATCATCATCATCATCATCATCATCATCATCGTCCTCATCATCATCAGCATCATCATCAGCATCACCATCATCACCATCATCATCATCAGAACAACATCAGCATCAGCATCATCAGCAGCATCATCATCAGCATCACCATCATCATCAGCATCATCATCATCATCATAATCATCATCATCATCATCATCCCATCATCTCATCATCAACATCATCATCATCATCGTCATCATCATCATCATCATCATCATCATCGCGGGACACCGGCGGGACACCGGCGGGACACCGCGGGGCACCGCGGGACACCGCGGGACACCGCGGGACACCGGCGGGACACCGCGGGCCACCGGCCGCCCGGAAGGGAGATATTTGGTCCGGCCGCGCCTCAGCCACACGGGACACCAGCGGGACACCGGCGGGACACCGCGGGCCACCGGCCGCCCGGAAGGGAGACATTTGGTCCGGCCGCGCCTCAGCCACAGGAGACTTTCTTCTCGCCCGCCCACGCAGCTTCGCCTCGCCCGCACGCACCGCACGCACGAACACGAAACCGAAATCGATTTCCCCGGTAGGGGGGCTCTCCGTTCCACTTCGATCTCACCCCCTCACCTCCGACTTCTTCCGACCGGCGTGGAAGCTTTCCCCGAAGGCAAAGGGAAATCTTCGGAAGGCGCTGGGGCTTCTGAGAAGTCCCGCCGCCTTCTGAGAAGGCCTTCTCCTTCTCACTTCCCCCCCTCGCTCGCCGCCGATGTTTTCCTTCCCTCCACCCACCAGCCATGTGCCGCCCCTGGCGTCCGTCCCATGGAAGTTCTCAGGTTGCACCTGGGCTTCGTCGCATATTCGCCCCCGTCCCAGCTAGCCCAGACGCAGCAGCAAGCTGGCTTCATCTGCTGGGCTCCGCCCTGTCCCGCCAGCTTCCCAGGCTGAGCCGTCCCGTGGCCACATTGAAATGATGTTCGGATGAGGCCTGTCGGAGACATCTGTCGGCACGAGCGAAATCTGCACGGAAAGAATGGGCACGAAAATTGACAGCAACCCTTGCCCATTTTGAACCGTTTTCGCTGTCGGTGTCGCCGCGGATGGTGTCCATGTGAGACAGAAGGCCGCCTGGCCAACAGCGGCCGCTGACAGATCTGGACATCCTTTGCTGTGGGGCGTTTTGCCGAGTATTTCCATACAAATTTCGGGCGTGCCGGATCTTGGCGCCGGGGTGGCATGTTCACAGAATCGTAGGCGATCTCGGGGCAGTCTTGAGGCCTATGGGCCACATTTTTATGGCGTCTTGGAGCCACCTCGGGGCCTTGTTGCTGCATCCTGGGCGGTTTGGGCGGCCCCTTGGGACCTTTGGGAGCCCTCAAGGGTCCGATTTGGGTAATATTTGGGGGCTCTGAGGGCTGTCTTGAAGCGACCTTGAGGAACTAAAGTGGGACACGCCAATGATTCTACGCGGGGATCCTCGTATGTGCATCTCGCGTCCTGGCACCTCTGTGAGTGTCTGAGCATGGGCAAGTCGGAGCGCGAGTGACCTGGGCCTGTTGCATCGCGGTGACCGTGAGGCTCCGAACAGAGGCGCCAGGAGCCAACATCTGCCACTCGATCGAAGAAGCCTGCGGCGAATCACCGCCGCCCCCTCCCTTTTGGAATGCCCCGTGTTGCCAAGCGCTGTGGCACGAGCTCTGCCAACCTATCGGACCATGTGTTCCCCCCTGCCCTTGGGGGAGGATGGCGGGGAAGATGAGGAGGAGGAGGAGGAGGAGGAGGAGGAGGAGGAGGAGAAAGAGGAGAAGGAGGGGGGGCATCTTCGGAGCCTCTGGGGGCACTCAAGGGCCTCATGGGATCTTCCTGGGAGCTTCTTGGGGGCATCTTGGCAGCCTTCTTTGGCCTCTTGGGAACCTTAGGGGGGCGTCTCGGGGGCTTCGTTGACCATCTTGGGGCGTTCCTGGCCATTCTGACGCCGTCGGAAGCCGTCTTGGGAGCCTCTCTGGGCCGACTTGGGACCCTCTTGGGATGCTCCAGGGCCGTCTTGGGGCCGTCTTGGGGGCCAATCTTTGACGCCTTTGGGGGGCCTCCTGGGGGCGATCTCTGTGGGCTCTTGGGCAGTGTCTGGCCCTCGGAGGGTCGAAACGATGGAGGCCCTCGTCGTGGCCTCTTGGCCGCCTTGGGGACCTCTCGGGGGCCTCGTGGGCCGTCTTGGGCCACCTTGGAGCCATCTTGGGCCGTCTTGGTGGCCTCGTGGCCTGTCTGACGCTCTCGGACGCAGTCTCGGGAGCCTCTCTGGGCCGACTTGGGGCCCTCTTGGGGTGCTCCAAGGCCGTCTTGGATGGAGGCCATCTTGGGCATCTTGGAGGCCTCTTGGGCCGTCTTGGGGCCCTCTTGGGGCCGTCTTGAGGGCCTACTGGGCAATTCTGGGACAAGATTTGAGGCCTCTTGGGCGACCTTGAGGCGATCTTTGGGGGCTCTTGGGCAGTCTTGGGCCGTCGGAAGGCCGAACAGAAGCAAATGCCCAAACCCTTCAAACGCCCAATGAAAATCAATGATGTTTGCCTTTTCGGGCCTTCCTGGAGGACCTCTTGGAGGCCTCTTGGGCCGCCTTCGAGACCTCTTGGGGGCCTCTTGGGCCGTCTAGGGCCATCTAGAGGCCATCTTGGGCCGTCTTTGTGGCCTCGTGGCTTGTCTGACGCTCTCGGACGCAGTCTTGGGGGCATCTCTGGGCCGACTTGGGGCCCTCTTGGGGTGCTCCAAGGCCGTCTTGGATGGAGGCCATCTTGGGCAACTTGGAGGCTTCTTAGGCCGTCTTGGGGTACTCTTTGGGCCGTCTTGGGGGCCTATTGGGCCGTCCTGGGGCCATCTTTGAAGCCTTTTGGACATCCTTGGGGCGATCTTTTGGGGGCTCTAGTGGGCCGTCTCGGGCCGTCGGAAGGCCGAAAAGAAACAATAAAGGAAAGTCAATGATTTGGCCCTCTTCGGGCCTTCCTGGAGGACCTCTTGAGGCAATATTGGGCCGATCTGGAGGCTTCTCTGGCGGACTTGGAGGCATCTTGGACCCTCTTGGGCCGTCTTGGAGCCCATCTTGGACCATCTTGGGCCGTCTTGGATGCCATCTGGGGCCATCTGGGCTGTCTTGGAAGCCATCGTGAGCCGTCTTGGACGACTTTTTGGGGACGTTGAGGTCGTTTGTGCGTCCTTGCGCGGCCTTCCGGGTGGCCCGTGGGACGGGCCAAAGCGGCAGGGAGAGTTCTTTTGGAAAAATAGGGGGGGGCGTATTACGGAAC